GCCCCTCGTGCACTACGTTCGCGCTGTAGACGGCGAACTTGGGCACGCCGTCCGTGTAGCGTCGCCACATCTGCTCGAGCTGCGTGAGCGGCCAGCGCAGGTGGGCGTAGGCAGGGGCGCCGTCCCCCGGCAGGAAGGACTTGTAGCCGCGGCCGCTCCGCTCTGAGAGCCGACAGTGCAGCGCGTGCAGCTCGTGATCGATCGCCGCGCGCACGCCGGACGCGTTGATGAGCCCGTCGACGGCCCACGGCGAGCCTGTGGTGCAGATCTCCTCACCGAAGTACGTCGCGTAGCCGCGCCGCCTGGCGATGGTTCTGGCGGCGGGGTTGTGCCGGGGATAGGTGGAATGGGGCACGCGGGGGCTGATGATCTGTGGTTCTCGAGGTTCTCGAGGTGGATATCCTTTGGCCGCGTTGGGTAGCGAGGATTGGTGTGATCTGTGGGCGGGACTGAGCTAGGACTGAGGAACCACCCAACCACCCTGACCGCCTCCTCGTGGGCGGGCTACTCGGGGTCGGTCGGGCCGAGATGCGAGAAGGGGGGGGGGGAGGGGCGAGCAACGGGCAGAGCCGACTCGACGAAATTTAAGGTTGTCCCGACACCTATGCGAAAAACTTGTCAGTGCCACATATGTAAGGGGTCATTAGCAATCAAACTGATGTACTCCCCAGCATTGTCTACACCGTTACTGTAGATGCGTTCAAGAAAAAAGACGCACGAAGTGGGCCTTGGGTGACTGTGGCGATCATCCCACTATTGATCGATGCTCCACGAGATACGACCTGTCACCCGTGGCTCCACCGCGGAGTGACATATCAGCTTGAACGACAGGCCAACTTGCAGCACCCAGCAGGTTAGGGAGGGGTTCAGAAGGGTTCAGAAGGGGTTCAGAAGGGGTTCAGAAGGGGTTCAGAAGGGGTTCAGAAGGGTTCACACCATGATGCAACCGATTGGTTGGCATCCGTAGAGTGAGAGGCGCCAGGGGCCCAGCGCGGCGCCCCTTGAGTGCTTTATACCGGATTTTGATGTTAGTGGCAAAACCGCGGAACCGAAAATGGCGTTTAATTTTGCGCCCCTGCTGCGCCCCGCCTGCGGCGGCGCTGCGCGCCGCTTACGCGCGCTGCGCGCTTTCTTTTCTATCTTTTCACACTGTAATTTTACCAAAAAAATGCCCTTTTTTGCTCTCTTTTGTTGGCGCGCCTTCGCGCCGATGACGCTGCCTCTCTCCCTCCTCCTGCTCGCCTCGGACGCCCGCCCGCGGCTTCTCGCGAGCGAGGTCTCGTCCCAGCCAGTGCGTCAGCCCGTGGAGCGGCGCGTCCTCCCGTACGAGCCGCTCCTCGTCAACCGGGAGCGACGCGGCCGCGACCAGCGCCACTCGTGGGTGCGCGGCGTGGCGGCGCTGCACCCGGCGCTGCGGCTCTCGGCTGCGGCGGCGGCGCTCGCGCTCGTCGCCGCTCGCAGCGGCCTTGGCGACGACGTCTGCCTCGCGCTGCGGCTCGGAGGCAGCCTCCTCGCCTGCGCCGCGGCGCTCGAGCTCGGTTCGGCGGCGGCGATTGCGGCGGCGGCGGTGTTGGTGGCGGTCGTGTCGTGGGTGCGCGGCGAGCGGGAGGAGTCGCGCGACTTTGAGCTGACCGAGCTCGGCCTCGCTGCCGCCGCCTCGAGCGCGTCGTATGCTCCGCCAGGCCGCCTTCTGCTAGTGATGCTCCTGCTAGTGATGCTCTGCTGGTGATGACAGTGAAAGAGGCGAGAAACAGCGAAGCCATGACTGAGGCACCGGAAGCTGTGGGTGGGCGCAGGAGCGGAGAGACGGCCACACGGGGATCAACAACAACAACAACAACAACAACAACAACAACAACAACAACAACAACAACAACAACAACAACAACAACAACAACAACAACAACCACACACACACACACACACACACGCACACACACACACACACACACACACACACACGCACGCACGCACGCACGTATACAAGGCACGCACGCACGCACGCACGCACACAGAGAGAGAGGGAGAGAGGACACGAAACAAGACACTCAGCCAGCTGGGGCTGTCCAACACTGACCCCGTGTGGACTTGAGGCGAGCAGGCGGCCGGCCGGAGTAGCTGTCAAGAGCTGTGAAGAGACGCTGTTCACACCTCCACCCGTGCGGGCAGGCGGCCGGCTGGAGGAGCTGCACGCGAGGGGCGTCGACTCGCGCAACTGGAGAGAGGACCGCTCTCTGTCGACAGACGTGGTCGCGGTGCTGTACAACAGGCACACCCAGACCTGCCATGTGGAGGTGTGAACAGCGTCTCTTCACAGCGGTGCTGTACAACAGGCACACCCAGACCTGCCTGGTCGCCTTCCGCGGCAGCGCCACCCTCGGCGACTGGAAGTCAAACGTCCACCACGTGCTACCGGGCAACGAGCGCGACTCGACGCCTCCAGGAAGTGTCTAGGAAGTGTCTAGGAAGTCGCTAGGTGCTTCCGGGCAACGAGCGCGACTCGACCGCCTTCCGCGCGGCGCTCGAGGTCGCGCGGGCGGCGCAGCTAACCCTAACCCTAACCCAAACCTTGACCCTAACCCTAACCCTAACCCTAGGTCGCGCGGGCGGCGCAGCTGCGGTATGCGCTGTACCGCCGCATCCGGCTGACGGGGCACTCTCGCGGAGGCGAAGACCCAAGAGACACGAGAGGACACGAGAGGACACGCGATGACACGAGAGGACACACACGAGAGGACACGAGATGGCCCGAGAAAAGAAGAGGGCACGGCAGAGGACCCGAGACGGCACGAGATGACACGAGATGATCCGAGATGACCCGTGATGACACGAGATGATCCGAGGTTGCACGAGATGTAGGCACGATGGCGGACTGGGTCGGCAGGCAGCTGGGCCTGCCCTCGCTGCAGATCAACCCCGGCATGGGCGTGAAGCTGTTTCGGCGAGACGACGACCCTGCGGTGGAGTCGCTCACCGCTCGCTCCTTTGACCTTGTGTCGGTGATGGAGGCGCTGCACGCGCGAGACCGGCGAGTCGTCTTTCGGTGGCCTCGCCACGCCCTCCTCTCCGCCGCCCTGCACCTCCTCCTCCTCGTCGTCTCGCTCGCCGCCCTCCTCGCCTCCCCCGCGCCGGGGTGGGCCCGCACCTCTGGCGCCGCCGGCGTGGTCGCGGCGCTGCTCGCGTACGCCTACTGGATGCACTCGGTGCTGCGGTTCACGCCACGCTGAAGCGGTAGTGCCGCACTAGTAAAGGCTAAAGCCGTAGCCCGTAGTGCTGTGGCGTGTGGGTACTCTAGAGCTAGAGGAGGCTTTTTTTTTAGAGCCTTTAGGTCGCGCCAGCCCTGCGTTTTGTGTGTGCTTGTGTTCTGTGAATGCAATCCGCCGAGTTCACCTCTTCACGACATGGTCATGCGTTTGCCGAGAATAAACAATAATTCAAACGTAAGTTTCGAATACAACAGCTACACTCGTAAGTGCGCCACAGCCCACACACACATCCTATCATTATATTAACGCGTTCCACGCTCTCGTCCCTGGAAGAGCGGGCGGTGTGCAATCATGCCTCTCATCCGAATGGCCATCCGCCGGGCCGTCCGGACCCACCCCCAAACCCGCCCCCTTTGCCTCCCGCCATCTCCTGCTTGAGCTGCTCCTCGAGGCTGAGCGCGGGCTCCCCCTCCTCCTCCTCCCCCTCCTCCTCCTCCTGCGCCGCCTCCGCCACCGTGTCAAACGGGTTGGGCAGCGAAAACGGCATCCCGAAGGCCGGCTTCGCCTGCGGTTCTGGCGCTGGCGGCGGCGGCGGCGGAGGCGGCGGCGGCGGCGGCGCCTCGAAGGGGTTCCCGAAGCTCATCCCAAACGCCTGCTGCTGCTGCTGCGGCGGCGGCGGCGGCGGAGGCAGAGGCGGAGGCTGCTTGCGCGGCGCTTTGGTTGGCGCGACTGAGCCGAAGTACTCGATGGTGACGTCCTTCTTCTGGCACCTCGCAACGCACGCCGGCACCCGCCTGCCGTCCACGACCACGTCGCAGACTCGACAGTGGCCCTCCATGCATGAGTATTTTATTGGGATGCCCGACTGCCGCGCCACGTCGGCCAGCTTCTGTCCCTGTGCAAACGCAGCCGGCGGCGGTCTCGGCGTCTCGTGCGTGGGACGGAGCCTCGGGTGCGTGTCGCGCGGGCGGCAGAGTGTGTGAGCTAACGGCTGTCTCAAGCATCTTTGTTTTGCCGGCACGACCTGGGAGGTCGAAACGGGCTGCTGCTCCCAAAAGTTGTCGGGCTTGGGGCCCTTCCAAGTAATCGTCTTTAGCTCCACCTCTTTGCTCAGGCCGGCGCCCTCGCGCTTCCCGAGCGTCTCGTCGTTCTTCATTGACTCTGCGAGCGCGTCGAAGAGGCCCATGCGGACTGCGGCGCGGCGGTGTGCGGAGGCTACGGAGCGCGGGCGAGTGGCGGCGAGGCCGGATGCCACGGAGCGCGGGCGAGTGGCGGCGAGGCCCAGCAAAAGGGCGACGGCCATTTGGAGGAAGACCACTTCCGCGACGCTTCGCTCTTCCTGGTGTCCTGTCGGTGTGTGTCAAAAAGAATTTCAAAACCAGAGGTATTCTGCGGGGGAACCCCAAAGCGCGGAGCCAATCGGTGAGCATCGAGCATCAGCTCCGAGTAGAGGGTGCGTCCGCCGCTAGGAGAAACCCAGGGAGCGCGGACCTCCTGAGACGTTTCGCAAAAGCATGCATGCGGGGCGACGCTGCCTCTTTGCCGCTCGCTCGAGACGTGCGTGGCCGTGGCTCCGCGCAGCTCGTCTTTTCGCGGCTTCCAAAGAGCTCGAGGCGCTGCAGAGGCCGATTGCACGGAGCACGCTAAAGGCTACACACTCGCACGTGACTTGCAGAGTGGCTCTCCCAGGCACTCACCCCACGGCAGAGGCACGCCAGCCCCGGGCAGCCGGCCGTCGCTCGCCTAAGCGCCTAAGCGGCCTAAGCGGGGGGTGCTCTTAGGGTGCTTAGGCGCTTAGGCGGCCCTTGCGAGCGTGGCGGCGTCGTAAATACAAGTGACTCCGATGACACTCACAATGCTCCTGCTAGTGTCATGGAGGGGGCAAAGCCGTTATGAAGAGCGCGAGAGCGAGCGCCGAGAGGGCCCAGCTTCTGAGCAGCAGCCCGCCTGATCATGCAGCCCACTTGCCGATTGCTCTCCGACGCCGTGCCGAGCGAAACCTTTTCCTTCGAAGCCCGGCGACGTAGCCGGGCGAGCGGAATAGGGCAGCCCTAAAGAGCACCTTGAGGCCGTTCAATAGAGCCCGTGTTATAGTCGAGGGTCGATCGCCGGCCGGCGCAGTGCTGCTCTGACCGCTCCGCCAGGCCGCCGCCGGGCCGCGCCGCGGAGACGTGCACATAGGCAAGTTGGTATTTTCATGTATGAACTTCAAAATAACATTGGCTAATCTAATCCTACTCATCGCAACGCGCCAGGAACACCCCCACACTATAGGGGGTCATTGTGTAGCCCTGCTTAGAAGGAAAAGGTTTACTGCATTGGTCCGGCCGATGGCTCACCGTGTAGTCGGCCAGAGCTCTCGGGCGGGAGTCAGCTTGGCTGGCGCGCGCACTGCATGCGGAAAGGAGCAAAACTCATTCTATAGCTCACAGACCTCTCGTAAGGGAATGCGTACCGCACGTTGCGGCTGCGCCCGCGGCTTCACAGATCACACCGGACCACACCGCCTCGGCAGTTCGCACATCTGACTTATAGGAGCTCGGCTGGTTCGTGTGTCAGAAACTGAGACCGAGGCCACCACCGACGGAAAAACGACTCGTTCACAAAGACGTCGTCCATCACGTGGTTTGCAGTCGTCCCGCGCGCGGCGATCATCCCGGCGTAGCTCATGCCAGCCCGAAGCAGCCGCCGGAAGATCGGTGCTCGATGACCGTCGCCGCGCGCCTGGGGATCACGATGAAATGGGGGTCACGGAAATATACGCGAGCGACGTGGTGGGCGTGTGGGCTGACTACTCAGTCTCGGCGGTGAAGGGGGTCCCAGCGGTGCAGCACGGCCAAGGTCGCGCCTCGCGCCTCCACCACAAGTACCCCGAGCGAGAGCGTGCGCCCGAGAGCGCGCGCGAGAGTGTTGATCACGCTCAGCTCACACCCCTCGCAGTCGAGCGAAAAGAAGTCGAGCCGCCGCACGGCGAGTCTTGCCAGCGCTTCGTCGAGCGGCACGCACGGGACTTGGATCGAGCCCGCTCTGTGGGTGTGGCGCCCCGTAGCGCGCTCAGCAGTTGTCGTGCCCCGCTGGATTCTGCCCCCATAGAATCCGCTTGCGGTGAAAGGCACAAAGCTGTACTCCTCACACACCGCTGCGTTGATCTTGACAGCGTTTGGCCGTGCTTGCAGCAGCTTCTCAAAGGATGCTGGGCTCGCCTCGACTAAAACCCCGGTCCAGTTGAGGCAGCGGTCAAACACGAGCGTTGTTGACTCCACCTCCCCGTCGCCGCCGCCTAGCTCGAGGTAGGTCGGCTGCCCAAGCGCCGCCAACGGCCTGCCGCTGTCGCGGTCGGTAAAAAAGGAGCGGAGCACCGCAGCGTCCTCGCCTCGCGCCGAGGAGCATGGCATGTACCGACCCGTGAACGGAGGGCTGCGCATGGCGTGCGGGAGGCGCCGGAGGAGCGAGCTGTGTACTACCCGAGAGGGCAGGAGCTCGGGCACCCAGCCATGCTTCAACACGGCCGCCAGCGGGAGCGACTCGCCATCGCCGAGGTTGACCGTGACGTTTGAACCCCGATGTTTGAGTCCTCGAGCCGTCCTGCAAGGGAAGCAAGGCACAGTCGGCCAGGAAAGACGATGCCCACTAACTACTCAGCGCCCGAACCGTACCTGCACCGCTGCATAAGCCAGGTGCGGTTGATCCCGGGGCGAGTAAAGATGTCGGTGTAGTCGAGGCTGGATGGACTTGCGAGCTCACGCTCGTCCTTCACCACAGCTGAACTATGAAACACCTCGTCCGCTGGCAAGCGGGCGAGTCCATCGATGTTACAATGGCTGCAGCCGCGCTGGACGGTGGTTGGCTCTCGCTCCCACTTGCTGTGTGCGCTCTGCCAAGCGGCAAAGCTCTCACAGGGCTGCTGAAAGGAGCAGATCCGCGCGTTGTCGAGCACCTTCGCTGGCGTCATTGTCTCCGCGTCGTGCAGGTCCGCGCACGCGGTGGGGAGGAGCAAGAGAACAAAGTGCCGGTGGATACGTCTTCTGCAGAACAAAGTGCCCGTCGGTGCCCGCTGAAAGAAAGAATTTTCCAACCCACAGAAAGAATCCTCCAATCCCTCCCTTGGGTTATGCTGCTGCTGCTGCTGTTACCTCCGGTCCACACGGGTACTCCCGTGGGATATCCGCGTTCTTTTCTTTCGAAAGAAAGAAAGCAGACACAAACCGCGCAAAAAAGTCGTCGAGGTCAAAAATAATTTCTAGCTTTCGCCCTCGCGCGCCCGGGGTTGGGGCGAGGGAGGCTGGCGAGAAAAAAGAATTTGTCGGGTGCCCAAGCAGTGGCTTTGGTTATCCTGCGTCGACGGCGTCGACGCTGACCTGGATATCCCGCAAAAAGAGCGCCTAACCTCGTCTCATCGTCGATGCTGCTATGCATCTTCTACACCGCGCTCGCGGTGCTCGGTCTGGGCTCATCGGCCTTTGCGCTCTCCTCATGTGGGTGTGGCGGCCTATCCGTGCCGGTGCGGGCAGAGCTGCGTGCGGTGCGGCACACCTCTGACGCCAAGAACGACGCGCTGTCAATCGACGGTTGCCCGGGGCACGTGAGCTGGAAAGACGCACCCTTCCCCAACGCCCTGGAGCCCGAGGAGCCGAGCCGCGTGCACTGGCTTCGCTCCCTCTTCACGCAGCAGGAGGCCGCCTCCGTGGTACGATTGCTGACACCAGCCGTTTTCAGCGCCGCTGCCGACTCAACGGATCACCTGCCGGCCTTTGAGCTCTACCTGCTTGGCGGAGGCAAGCCGGCCGCTGGAGAACCGGGGGACGCGGGACGGCTCGAAGCCGTCCGCTCGCTGGTTCTCCCGCGCCTGGTGGCGTGCGTCACGCCCTTTGTCCGAAGCAAATTCGGGTGCGCCGAGTGCCTGCCGTGCATCTCGCTGGCTCGACGGTACACACCCTCGGAGCGCACCCTCGTGCGGCCGCACCGCGATGCGCTCGCACGCGTGACCGTAGTAGTGGAGCTGCAGCCTGCAGACGGCTCCTCTCCCGCTGCGGCGGCCAAAGCGGGTGGGCTATTCATCCAGAAGAGCGAGGACTCGAATGTGAGCATGGTGCCAATGCGCGCGGGCGATGCGTTTCTCCATGATTACTCCCTAATGCACGGAGTAAAGCTATCGTGCGAGACGTGTACCCGCTATTCGCTCGTCGTGTGGTATCGCGAGGACGGCGAGCGCTGCGCGGCTGGCGGCGGCGTCGAAAGCGCGACGCGCATGTACCGCCGCTCGGCGAGGGCTGGGGTGCGCATTCATGTATTCCAACTATCTCCAGCTATCTTCATTGTATTCGTAGCCTGCACAATACCGAATTCACGCTCTGACGTGGGTGTATTCACGTAGGTGCCCGAGGGTCTTTACACCTGGGCGAGGCACGCATTACAGATCGACTTTGATGGCAACTATGCAGTGGGCGCAAACGCCCTGGCAGTGGTGCGATCGGAGCCAAGTGCGAGCACCGCCGATGCCACCTTCATCGTTCGCGAGGCGCTCGAGTTTCTCTCGAGAGCTGTGACGGAGCACGTCCACGGCGACGCGTGCGTGTTTCTTGCCGAGCTGCATCTAAAGGGCGTGCCAGGGGCGCTCGAGCCGGACGCCACGACTGCAGAGCGCTATCGGCAGCGCGCAAGAGGCATGGGCGGCAGCGAACTCGCTGCGTGGGAGAAGACGCGAGGAGAGGAGCTCGACAGGGCGTTGCAAGAGCAGCACCCAGTTGCTGCCGGCGATGCTGCGGGCGTGGCGAAAGTCTGCCTCTACCAGTTTGATGACCGAGCGGACGAGGCCCTGGGCAGTCAGATCAAGCTCACCGAGCTGAATCGCCAACGGTCAGAGCCCCCGACAGCACCACCTGACAGCACCTGACAGCAACAGCCCAACGTCTGACAGCAGAAGCAGCCTGACAGCTCCGACAGCTCCTCGACAGGTGCGAGGCGGACCCGGCGTGCATACGGCACACCTTCCAGCGGACGACCGCCGCGGGCATTCCACCGTGGTACGCGAGCACACCATCAAACTATTAGCCTAATAACGTAGCTAATTATTAGCGTGTACCTAATAACGTTGTTATTAAGCATTCTTAGCCAAGGCCCCGCGTATTAGCTGCTAATAACAGCCTGATAATCTGGGCTTGGGCTATCAAGTCGGTTATTAGCTGCTAATATGGACTATCAGCTGTGCTAATATAGGTGGAGCAAGGTGTACCTCGTACGCGAGCAACTGCAGAGCGTGCCCGACTGCGACGTCGTCGCTTGGCTTGACACCGACGCCGTGGTGAACGCGGCGCCGTCCGCCATCGCGGCGCGGCTTGGGAGCGCGAGCATGCTCATCTCGCGCGACCTGCCCATTTATGGCGACTGCGCGGCCGCCACCTGCGGCGACGACGACTTCAACGCCGGTGTCTGGGCCGTCCGCAACTCTGTTGCGGGGCGCAAGCTGATGGACGCATGGTGGGAGCTCTTTCGGGCCGACGCGTACAACCTCACACCCAACATCCCAGGCGGGATCAGAAGGGGACTCCACACCGGACACCGCCCGGGCACAGCCCCCCTACCCGTCGGATCGCACAGAGGGCCCCCTCGGAGCAGCCCACACACAATCACGCATCGGCAGATTGAGTGCCTGAGTCAGGCAGACAGCACAGACAAGAGGAGAGAGAGGAGAGGAGAGAGAGAGAGAGAGGAGAGAGGAGAGGGTGAGGGTGTGAACACACGTGAGGAGTGGGGGAGGGTGTCTGTGGTGGGCTGTAGTCCTACTACGTGGTGACAACCACGCGCCCCTCAGGAGCTTAAAGTAGAGTGTTTGGGTGTCAAAACACCGGGTCGGCGCCAGGCTTATCTCTCTCTCTCTCTCTCTCTCTCTCTCTCTCTCTCTCTCTCTCTCTCTCTCTCTCTCTCTCTCTCTCTCTCTCTCTCTCTCTCTCTCTCTCTCCCTCTCTCTCTCTCTCTCTGCTTTCGCGCTGCCGGGTTTTCTTTTTTCTTTCCCATTATGCGAGCTACCCTCTCTCGACTTCTGGCACCGCCACCGCCACCGCTGACTGGGAGACGGACTAGCATGCTCCTCCTCCCGACGATCGTGGCCGCAGCCTTGTCGCCGGGCGTTCCCGGCGCGCGCCGCGGCGCCGTCCATAGCGCCGTGTCACGCCTCGCCATGCAGCAGACCTCGTCGCCGAAGGGCGTCGTGATCACCGGCGGCGCTGGCGGCGTCGGCTACGCCTACGCGGACGAGTTCCTGGCGCGCGGGCACTGGGTGGTGATCTGCGACGTCAAGGACCCGGAGCCGGCCGTGATGGCGCTGCGGCAGAAGCACGGCGGCGGCCTCGGCCGCATCTACGGCTGCACCACCGACGTCTCGTCTGCCGAGTCTGTGGGCGCTCTCGCGCAGTTCGCAAAGGAGCAGATCGGGACGGTACACTACTGGATCAACAACGCGGGCATCAACGGCGGTCGCCGTCCCTTCACCTCCCTCTCCACCCAGACCGTCGAGGCAGTCGTCAAGGCTCGCGCCGTCCACTTTCTGCGCTGCGCCTGAGACTCGGCCGCACTGCGCCTGACGCCGGCCGGTGCGGGAGCAGGTCAACCTGATCGGTGTGCTCCTCTGCACCCTCGAGGCCATCAAGCTCATGCGAACGCAGGTCCGCCAGTCGCCCCGCCCGGCCCGTGCGATCCGAGAAGCGCGCGCTGAGAGAGTGCGCATGGGGCGGCACTCGCGGAGAAGCCGCGGGCGCGTGCGCTCACCGCCGGCGCCCGCGCCCGCAGCGCGGCGTCGAGTCGCACGTCTTCAACACCGTCGGCTCCGGCGTCAAGGGCGGCGGCACTCCTGGCTACGCCTGCTACGGCGCGAGATTTAGCCGAGAGGCAGCCGGGAGGCAGCCGGGAGGCAGCCGGGAGGCAGCCGGGAGGCAGCCGGGAGGCAGCCGGGAGGCAGCCGGGAGGCAGCCGGGAGGCAGCCGAGAGGCAGCCGAGAGGCAGCCGAGAGGAGAGAGGCAGAGGCACTCCTGGCTACGCCTGCTACGGCGCACAGAGCACGCGCGGCACCATTCCTCCCTTCCGCGCGTCTCTCGCCCGCCCGCGACTGCCGCCCTTGCGCGGCGCCTCTTTTTGCGCGCACAGGCGCGCGTGTGTGTGGCGGTGTGGGTAGGCGCGACGAAGCGCGGGCTGCCGCAGCTGACCGACTCTCTCGTCAAGGAGCTCGACGACGGGGTGGAGGGGGACGAGCCCGACGACAGCTGTGAACAGCGTCTCTTCACACCTCTGGCTGTGAACAGGTGGAGGGGTACGAGCCCGACGAGGCGGCGCGCGGCGCAAAGGCGACCCGAGAGACGGACGCGGCCGAGAGGGCAGCTTCTGGGCTCACAGCACACGCACGCCCACGCCCTGCCGCACCCGACCGCGCAGGTGAACGTGCACACGCTCTCGCCGGGGATGGTCTTCACGGACTTGCTGCTCAACGACTCGACGCCCAAGCTGCGCAAGTTCCCGTTCGGCGTGCTCGCTGCCCAGCCCCCCGAGGTGGCGCAGGACCTGGTGCCAAAGATACTCGCGACGAGCGGCAACGGCCAAAAGGTCGAGTTCCTCACCACGGACCGCATCCTGACCAAGTTTTTCGAGCGGTTCGTGCAGGGCAAAAAGTCCGAGTACATTGATGACAACGGCAATGTCATCAAGGTACCGGGCGCCCAGTACCTCGACAACGGCGTGCGCGTCCAGTATTAGCGGAGGTAGGAGTTGCGCGAGAAAGCGCAGATCAGAGCTGGACACCTGTGTACAGTGCACGGAGCTTCAGCCCCTGTAGCGACCTAGCGAATCGCGGCGTGTCGCTGTGTAGATGCGCAGTGACCTGCTCGCGAGTGATTTTCCGTTCGAGGAAAACTCGCGCGCTCAAATACCCGGGGTATTCGTGACCCAGCACCTCAGGGGATGTGCGCCGGGGCCCCTGGAACCTGGTTTGTGGAGCTCCCAGCTCCCACACCTGTCTAGACCCAGTCCTGAGCCTGTCCAGACAGCGTCCAGACATTGTCCACAGTCCAGACAGCGTCCAGACACAGCGCGTTAGAGGGTGCGCAGCGTCCGAATCTAAAATCTGAGGATTCAGGATTCAGGCATCGCTTCAGTGGGGCCAAAGTGAGTTTATGGATGTGTGAGAACGGTACGGGACACGAGGAGTCACGCGGACCGACTCGTCGGTGACTCTGCTGCACGGCGTTTCAGAATTTTCCTCAGCGTGAGCGAGACGTGGAAGAGTGCCACCGTCGGGTAGGACGGGTCGGCCCGGAGCATCAGAGTAGCCGTCGTGGTCGCGGCGAGCAGCGCCGGCCACTCCGGCGCCGCGTCGGCAACATGGGAGCATGTCCACCGCCACTTCGCGGTCGCAGCGCTGTTTGTCGCCCGAAACGCCGCATATCCCTCTGGCGGGCCAAAGATCGACTCGCATGTCGATTTTGACTCGACGGCGGCATGGAGGCATCACGTCTCCATGCCGCCGTCAAGTCGGAGCCAGTCTGCGGCGACCACAGCGCTCACCGCAAGCTGAAATCCCACACCGGTGGATTTTGGGCGCTGCGCACCCCCTAAGCCGCCGCACGTGTGTGTGTGTGTGTGTATGTGTGTGTGTGTGTGTGCAAGCGCCGTCGCAACTGCCATGTCGGCAGGTTGTAGGCTGGTGCTCTCGCCCCGCTGGCGGCGCGGACCGGTGCCGCGGCTCCGAGCCCTCCTGTGGGCCCGCGGCGGCTCGCCGTCGCGGTGCCGAACAATGTCATCGGTCCGGATTCATCCCGGCGTGCCGCCGGTGACGCTTCTTCGCCGAAATTTTGCTCAAGCTCTTTGTCGACAAAGCTGTGCCCGAGCTCCTGCTGCTCGACTGCGCGGCGGAACCGGCCCCTGGATGCTGAGATGTGAGGCGCCGGCACCGGGGCTACAACGCGGGGCCATCTCCGGGCTGTCTCGGGCAACCTCAAAATTGGCGCCTCTCTCTGCTGCTGCTGCTGCTGCTGGTGCTGCTGCTGCTGCTGGTGCAGATGCTGCTGCTGGTGCGGCTCGGCTCTCCGACTCGACTCGCCGCGGGCGTCGCGGGCATCTGACGCGGCGGGCGGCGTCGCGGGCGGCAGCGATCGCGGCTCGACGGTGGAGGCGGAGGGTGGTGGCTGTGGTGGACCTTTGAGTTTATTTAATGGTCGAGTACGAGGACTGGGGGGTCAACCGGGAGGCAGGGGGTCAACCAGGCGACGGAGGACCGTGGGCCATCGCGGGGACGGGCCCGCCGGAGGCGCGCCCGGTAGATCCGGACGGTCTCACCCGGTGGGAGGCACTGAGGCGTCTAGGACGCTCCACTCTACCTTAAGCTCCTGAGGGGCGCGTGGTTTTACCCACGTAGTAGGACTACAGCCCACCACAGACCCACCCTCCCCGCTCCACACGCGTGCAAACTCCCTCACCCTCTCCCCTCTCCTCTCTCTCTCTCTCTCCTCTCTCTCCTCTCCTTGTCTGTGCTGTCTGCCTGACTCAGGCACTAATTCTGCCGATGCGTGATTGCGTGTGGGGCTGTGGGCTGCTCCGAGGGGGCCCTGTGCGATCCGATGGGTAGGGAGTCTGTGCCCGGGCGGTGTCCGGTGCGGAGTCTCTCTCTGATCCCACCTGTGGTGTTGGGTGTGAGGTCGTGGACGCTTCGATCCCAAGGGGGGGAGCCGAGCCCACTCATAACCAACTCTCAGGGGCAGTAGGTGGGCGAGCCTCGAGCGCGCTCATCTCGATCGTCAAGGCGTCGCTACGCGCGGTCTTCCGCGGGGGGAGCTTCGTCGACGGGTGCGGGATCGCGGCGCAGTCAGTGCCGTGGCGATGCCTCCGGCTGTTTGCGGCGGGCGGCTTGGATGCTGCTCGCTGCGATGGCGAAAAACTCGTCTCGCCGCACACCAAGGGCTTATGCTCTGGCGAGATGTGAGGCGCAACCATGCGCCCAGGAGGGGAGAGGGCGCATGCGTAACGACGCTGCTAGAGATGCGCGAATTCGAGGCGCCGTGCGACGTTTGAGGCGGACAGCCCTAGGCGACACGGCGTCTGTGCTCGTGTTTATTGTGCTCGTGTTCAAGCAAGAAGCATCAGTGCGGGTACATGCGGTCCTACCACTGCACACAGTGCTTCCCGGACCCGAGCCAGGTTGGCTACGCGATCTGCAGCCCGGTCGGGACAAAAGCTGGCGACCCTCACCGGCTTTGCCAAGCACCTGCTCGAAGAGGAGCCGTCGCATCGGGCACAGCAGCACCCCCCCGCCGCGACGCGGCGATCGTCCATCGCCGTACCGGCGACCTGAGCCTGCGCCTGCGCCGGCAGCGGCGGCGCCGGCCGCCGCGGCGCCGGCAGCCGCAGTGCCCCGTGCGCGCCGCCGCATCATCTAGAGGTGAGACGGGGTGAGTGGCGAGTGTGCGGCGGCCGGAGGGCGCGTCAGACGACCGCGAGGGCGGCCCACATGCGGAGTGACTTTTAGAAGTCACCCCGTTTCGGGCGTCTCACCGGCGTACTTGAGGTGCTTCAGACGGACGCAGTGGGCTGTCGGCAAGGTAGGTGAGTGTCTAGGGGTCATCTCTAGGCTGGTTAGCCTTGATTTTGATCAAAGATCGGCGCAAGAAACGGTCGCGATGCCTCGTGTTTGAAGAGTGACTTCTCGAAGAGGGGTACCCGGAGAATCCCCAGCTGCGGAAACGTAGTGTCGCTCAAGAGGTGCGATACTGCGGGGGAGTGTAAGGTGCCTATACGGGCTTCCAAAGACATGCGCTTTGGAGCCACCCCAAGTTGAACCTCTGGCGTTTTGTGAGAGGGCGGTCAACTCCGCCCGGCGAGCTGTGACCAGTCAGCAGCAGAGAGGATGAAGCGCAAGCATTCCAACACAGCGGCGCTGGCGAACACCCACACGGACACTGCTCCTCCGCCAGCGGCAGCAGCGGAGCCGGCGGCGAGAGAGCGTGTGGCGGAGGGCTTGAGCTTGCACCTCTCCAGCAACAGCACCGGGTACAGGGGCGTGCGGGAGCACTCTGGCCGCTTCCAGGCGCAGCGCATGGTGGACGGGAGGGCGGACTACCTGGGCACCTTCGGCACGGCGGTGGAGGCGGCGGTGGCGTACGCGCGGGCTGCCGGCGAGTACCAGCCTCCGGCGGTAGCGACGGAGGCGGAGGGCTTGCGCCTGCACCTCTCGAGCAGAGGCAGGACCGGCTACAAGGGCGTGTATATTCACAGAGGGCTGATGACTCCGGCCCAACGGATGGACGCGCCGCCGCGTGTCGTGCTGGGACTGCCCTTCTTTGCGCAGGTGGACGGAAGACCCGCGCAGGGCTTAGGCTCTTACGCCACGGCGGTGGAGGCGGCGGTGGCCTACGCGCGGGCGGTCGGGGAGTACACGCCTCCACCTCCGCCACCGGCAGCAGCCGAGCCAGCGGCGGCGCCAGCAGCGGCAGAGCCAACTACGCAGGCTCCGGTGACGCAGGCCCGGTGGCGGCAGAAGCGTGTCCACGACACGTCCTGGCCACCCCCCCCATAGGCAGCCAAGGTGATGCGCGTCGCCAAGGCTGAGCAGCAGCGGCGGCTGCAGGAGCAACAGCGGCAGCATCTGCAGGAGCAACAGCGACGGTTGCAGGAGCAGAAGCCGCTGCTGCAGGAGCAACAGCGGCGGTTGCAGCAGGAGCAACAGCGGCGGTTGCAGGAGCAGAGGCGTCTCTTCGAGGAGGTGGCCAGCCACACACACACACACACGCACCGCTCACCCACGCGCACTGGGCCTTGCACTTTTCATGCCGAGGGGCTCCTGTCGCCTAGACGTGGAGTCGCGAGGGTCGCCCCCCCCCTTGCCCCACCATTTTGTGTGTGAGGGGACGTTTGCACCTTACCTTGCCTTAAGTTGTCAACTGTCTCAACGTTCGCTCCTGGTTCTCTCTGTTCTATGTTTCTTAATTTGTCGAATATCCTTCTCCAGTCTCCAATATCATTTTTTTCTTCTCTCGTTTACTCTCTTTCTCTTAGTTGGTCTACTTCCCTCTTTGCACTCATTTGTAATTTCTTTCCGATGCTCCTATTACTTTT